ATCCCATCCCATCCCATCCCATCCTATCCTCTCAGCAGCCCGTCTCGTGGGAGAGAGAGCTTGGGCAGAGAGCCTCTGGGCTGGCCCAGCACAGCTCGTCTGTCTTGCGGGCGCAGCGCAAGGGCAGAAGAGAACCAACCTGGCAGGGATTTGGATCCCCAGGGAAGACATTTCTGGCAGGAATTTCTCCCTGTCATTACACTGGGGGCACCGGAAGCAAAGCAGGCCAGCGTGGAAAGCCTGTTGCTGCGAGAGAGAGAGACAAGCAGCGTGAGCCCCCGGGGCACTGCTGCCAGGCACCTGCCTTGCCCGAGGGGCACGGGAAGGGCCTCGTACCTGGATGCAGCCCCGATGGAACCATGCCTGCCTGCAGCTGGGGCACACCATAGTCTGGTAGGACAGCTTCTCCTCCACATGCTCCAGGCAAATGACGCACGAGGCTTGGCCGTCCTGGTGCGCCTGCACTGTTTGTGCTGGCCTGTGCTCCTGGCAGAAGGACCTGGGTGGGAGGCGGAAGAAGAAGCGGGCAAGGTGAGGAAGTGCTGAGGCCTGGCAAAGGCAGTCTTTTCCCAGCCCTGAGCCAGGAACGCTTCCCAGGCTTCCTGGGGGCCGAGAACAAGGCATTCCCGGGGCATTGCTGAGGGTGGACCATCCCGCTCCGCTCCAGCAGCCAGAGCATGGGGAAGGGGGCATAAATGAGCCCTCCGCATCCTGGCTCTGGCTCTGGCTCTGGCTCCAGGAGGGCACTTGGAGGAGTCACTGCGGGGCACAGCAAGCAGGTTCCTCGTCTGCTTGGCCGCTGCTGGCAGGAGAGGGACGGAGGCAGCGGAGGCCCAGCACGAGGGCCGTCCGCCCTTACCTGTAGTGCCCAAAGAACTGGGAGATGCATCCATTCTCGCGGCTGCAGGGGAAATGGAAGCTGCGCTTGCACTTCTTCCCCTGGCAGGTAATGGTGGCCCCCCTCTCGCCACAGACATAGCAGATCTGCAAAAAGCACAGCAGCCCTGCCATCAGAGACGTGCTCTGGGACCCCCGGGCCTGCCCCCAAGCCTTTGGCAAGGGTGCAGGGGTCTGGGCACTGCTGAGGCACGTGCTGCAGATCCACCCTGGGGACTGCGGTCCTGCTTACGTAAGCTGGAGCCTCTCTGGAGCTCCTGGGACTTGTGTTGCCTGCGGCTGCCTGAAACACCGGGATTTCCTTCCCGTGGCGCAGGCTCGGCCCCTTCAGGCACAACCCCCCCAGACACACCCCCCTCGGAGGTCTTCACCTTCCTAGTGGCCTGCTTCACGACCCGTCGGACGTCCTCCGGGCAGACGTTGTGGGCTCCGTTGTTCCTTGCCCGCCGGGAGAAAAGCCCGTTGGCCAGATACTGAAAAACAGGACAGTCCAGGAGCTCATTAGGTGGTGGGTGAGGCAGGGACCACTACTGCTGGACGGTGCTTAGAGAGGCTCTGGGCAGGCCATGGGCTGTGAGCACAGTCCCACACCCCTCGATCCAGCCAGGCTGGGGACGCAGAGCCCAGGCTGCTGGGCTGCGCTACCGGCGGAAAGCTGGGGGCAGCCCCAGGGGAACTCACCAGGCAATTCTCATGGGTGCAGACACCGTTATCCTGGCTCTTCTCCCCATAAATATCTGGGTCAGCGTCTGCCCGGCCGCACAGCACGCACGCTGCAGAGGGGAGAGCAAAGGCCACAAGCGCTGAGCACCTCTCTAGGGCGTGCAGAAGCGTCCTCGTAGAGGGATTTCCCCCCTCAGGCCCACTCTGTGCCTGCCTTGCTGGGTGACAGGCAGGGCTGGAGCTGCGGGAAGAGCACTTGGTGGCTTTGGGGAGAGAGGGGCATTGCAGGCGCGGCAGGTGCCTACGTTGGTCACAACAGGTGCGGGCGCGGTGGGCAGGAGTCAGGAGAGGGGCCGGGGAAGGCTCTAGCTTGTATCGGGGGACAGAGTGCCTCCCCGCACACTTTGGGGCGCTGCCTATGCAGCCAGCCCCTGAGCTCCACACAGCACGGCCTGCCTCCGCCAAAATCCCCGCCTGTGCCGATTGCTGTCCCACGGGCCCTCGACAGCCCCAAAGGCAGGCCCCTTCCTTGGCCTCGGTGGCTACAGCCCTGTCCTGGCCCGTGCTTCCCCTACCCTCGTCCCGTCAGGCCCCCTTGCTCACGGCAAGCACCTCCCCTCCCCACACAGCCTCCCCTCGCCCCAGGCCCCTTTGCTGAGCGTGGCCCCCATGCACCAAGCGATCGGGGGCCTCCAGCCTCCCTTCCCGAGGCTTGCGGCCACACACGGACCGCCCCGACACCCCTTGTGCTTGGCCACAGGCCACAGGGACGCGTGGGGTCACTTTGCTCTCACCATTCTCCCTCGCGTCAGGGGCCTTGCGCTTCATGGCGCACACAGCGACAGCGGGCAGCAAGCGCTCCTGAAAGCCGCCCCAGCAGCAATGCCGGGGCTCCTTCAGACACTCCTCTGCCGACTCTGTGGCGAAAGCGGGATGAGATGAGTTTCCAGCACAGGACCCCAAGCCCCAGACCTGGGGACCTGCTCCTCCCACAGCACCCCCAGCAAGCCCCTGGTCCCCTGCCCAGGGCTGGCCCAGCCTCAGGCAAGGACTGGCGGTGCCACGTCTGCCTCACCCACCCGCGGGGCTCGGCCCCCCAGAAGGCAGCGGCTCCTCCCGCCCTGGCCTCAGCTCACCTGCCCTGGGTGCTGGGAGGTGCTGCCTCCCAGTCTAGGGCCTGCCCGCGCCCGCACCCCTTTTTATAGCTGCCTGGGGGCCGTGTCACCGGCCCACGGTGACACCACTGGGACACCATTGCCACACCCCCGCTGCCCACTGTCGCCC